GAAGCAACCGGTGAGCACCTTCAGTTTGGATAAACAGCACTGCTGCCGCAGAATCAGCCGACCGAGAAACACCTTCAGTTTGGATAAACAGCAATGCGTCGAGGTCGACCGATTATCTATCTAAGTCTCGGCCGAGAAGGGTTTTCGAACCTTTGTTGGTGGAGGTCATCTGACTAAGCCTTTTCGGCATAGTTGGGTGTTACGAATTGCATTGCTCGGCGTATTGGACGCCGAGTGAGTTTATGATTGGATACTCGCAAGTAAGTTTCAGGGTTCGGCATTCCGACGGCCGAACTACGTTTACTATCAAGACATATATCACATTCGAGTACTTGTGCCCGTATAGTTTGGTCTCGATTCGGCGTGCTTATACTCTCACGAATATAATCACGGTGACCGAACCAGGCTTCGGCGATTTGTGAACTCCGTAGAATTAGTAGCCTTGTCTTCAGGCTATAGAATCCAGAGACCGAGAGCGTTCCTTCCTCGGTCGCAATCGCAAGATACAGAAGTCAACAGCGCGCTCAACGCGAATACATCAAATTTCTCCTCGGCCGAGCTCGGCCGATGAGTTGGCACGCCCCGCATTCGACCGAAGGACATTAGTTAGCTCATTAGTTACTCGGCCTGCGCGCCACGTAGGTTTTGTAAATTTTAGAGTCAACAGTCATACATCTTTACGTAATCGGTTAACTAGACCTGATGACATGACAAATAATGACTTCCACATATTTTATGACGTGGCAAATAAAAATCCCAGCATTCCTCACGACCGGTGGGCGCACCAGAAACAGCAGTCAGGTGATCAAGGACGACCCCACCACTCAGCAGAGCCTCAGTGATCAGCTTCCCATGCGCGTCCTCGCCCACTTGGCCGACTAAGTATGTTCGGTGAGAAAGCTTTCTACCGCAGGATTGGCGCCTTTGCCGCCGATCAGGGTCTGTCCACTGTTGGCTAAAAAGGTCTTGCCTTCTTTGGGTATCTGGTCGATTTCGACGTAGATGTCGACACTAGCTGAACCGACCGCCACGAGCGGCGGGTTTGGGACGGTGAGATGAGCTGCTGGGTTTGAGTGTTTTGATGCGTCTACGGAGAAACAGGGAAATGGGTTTCTTTTATTGGATTGAAGATTTGGGTTTGAATTGTTGATTGATCTGGTTAGGTGGGTTGAAAAATGGGTTTGAATGTTTTCGTGCCATTGATTTGATGGTGAGAATGTTGCTGCTTAGATTGAACTACTTGGTCTCTCTCTTTCTCGGAGGAATGGAGTAGCTGATTTGCTGGGTTGGTTTGTATAGAAATGGGTGCCGAGTATATAATCGATTCCTACAGCTGAGACAGAGAAGGGAATGAAGCGGAAGGACGCCATGGAGGTCCACGGAGGAGAAAGGCGAGAGTCAGGTTCCCGGCTGAATGTGGCCTGAGCAAGTAAATGAATGATCCGGGGACAAAGAAATTGTTGGATGCCACCTTTGTCTATGAGATTGTCGTAACACTTAGTCAGTTTAAAAAGGGAAGAGTAGCAACTTAAAAAGGGAAGAGTAGCAATAGTGTCTTAACTTTAACTCAATTAGAGTAATTGTTCCTCAACTAAAAGTCTATTACTATTCGTCCATCAACTCATCAAAACGTGCAACTATGGTCCCTCAACTAAAAATTAATTACCATAGATCCCTCAACTTTAATCCAACTGTAGAAATGGTCCCTCAACTTTAATCTAATTGGAGTAATAGTCCCTCAACTTTAACCCAATTGTAGCAATGGTCCTTCCAACATAACTCATTTTGACAAAATTCTGATGAAGTTGACGAAAATGACCATAATTACATGTTTTAATGAGTTGAGGGACCCCAATTGTAGTAATGGTCTTTCCAACATAATTCATTTTGACAAAATTTTAACGAAGCTGACGAAAAGGACCATAGTTACACATTTTGATGAGTTGAGGGACCAATAGTAATGGATTTTTAGTTGAAGGACCATTGCTTCAATTTGATTAAAGTTAAAGAATCATTGCTACAATTTACTCAAAATGAAAAGAGAGGATAAAAGGACAAAGACTATCCAACAGATTATAACAATGACTTATTGACCGGGATTACAGCTATTCACCTAGTCAACAATGAATATGCATAAAACATGATATGATTATGTATGCAAGTAACGACCCCAAAGCTTATTTGTGCTAAGTAATAAAATTATCTTAGTACACATTGGATTCCTTAACAACTGGAAATTTTTTTTTTCAGTTTCGAAGTTTAGTAGTGATTATTTCTTAAGATATTTTTTTTCACCAATTTTAATCTATATTCTTGTAACACTCATCATTCGTTAATAATTTGTGGATTGGCAAGTTTGCTGCAGGATGGATTGAGGGGAGGCTTCTTTCAGATAGTCTGTATGAAATACTGGAGCGAAATAAATTGTGGAGTAAAAAAATAATTTTGAAAATTCTGGAACTAACACATAATTTTTATTTACAATTGGCTAGAACGACCCTATTAATTTTAGCTAGGTCCATCCGTTTCACGTGCAGTTCAACTACCACTAATGTAGTATTAAGTTTAATTTTGTCTCTTAGTCGTGGGGAAGTGGTCGAGAGGAGACCGATGTTTTTACCCTTGGATTTGTTCACTAATTATTTCTAGCGGCCTAGCGGTGCATATACAGTTGTAGATGGGGTAGGTATAAGGTGGCACAATAAAACTTGAATAATTTGAATCGAGGGAAAACCATATTTCTGATAAGTTTTGTTTGTATCAACGATCACACAAAAAACACATTTAGTTAACTTATTTTTTTTTATAAAGGTTCTACATTTATTTACTTCGCAATTGTTTGTGTTTGTAGGTTTTAGAAATAAACTAGCAAGGGTGTACGTGTGATGCTATGGGTTGTAAAATCGTATAAATATGTAGAAAATTCTAAATATATGTACAATAAACAATACTATTTGCATACATGTATAAATTTATTTACAATTAAAAAAAAAAAAAAGCAAATAGGTGTCTAAGGAGGGAATGACTGCTTATTGTAGAAAGTATTTTTGCAACTTTTATAAAACAAATTGGTTAACCAATCAACTTTCGAAAATGTGGTCTCACTACAAAAGCATGTGATCTCAAGATCCTTCAGTCAACAAAAACAAAAAGTTCATAATATAATAACGTTTGCGTATGGACTCGAGAAATAATATATAGCCGGGCGGGAAGGTGCAAGGAAAGTGATTACTATCAATTATGGATTTTTAGGTGATCTCAAGATCCTTCAGTCAACAAAAACAAAAAGTTCATAATATAATAACGTTTACGTATGGACTCGAGAAATAACATATAGCCGGGCGGGAAGGTGCAAGGAAAGTGATTACTATCAATTATGCATTATTTTAGGTTGAAATTTGGAAACATTTGAGAAGTAGCATGACAACAACTACATAATAAACATAAAGTGATTAAAGAATATATAAACCCAAATTTGAAGGGATAATTAACAATTATTCTATAAAATAAACATACTTTAACTAATATCGAGACATTTTATAATAAAACTTCACGTCTGACGGATTGGACAGTTGATAATTACCACATTGGGGACAGTATCAATGTGTTAGAGTAGGCCCCCTGAGCCCATTGATCCAAAATACCAACAAAAGAAGCAAACTGCACGAATTGAGGTTCCGCCGGTTAAACAAATTTGCTTCATAAGACAAGTGAGAAATTGTTCAAGAAATGACATAGAGTACTTGGTTGGAAAGCTTAATTCTTTCAAATGGGCGCTTGGCTTGCTTAGGCGCAATGTAACAATTTCATATTACTGATGACCGGGATAAGAAAAAAAAAAAAAAAAAAAAAAAAAAAAAAGGTACTAAGGTAATAACTCACAAGTGAACTGTTACCTGAATGAACTTGAAAACGTAGATAAATGCACATTTCGCTTCGTTAGTAGCAGTTGACAGTTATAGCTTGTTTTGAGAAGCTCACCCCTCTTCATGCCAAAGAGAGACGTTGCTAAAGCTGCAGGATGGTCTTTCCAACTTGAAATAAACGATACGCGTCAACATACTTTGCCGGTGGAACATAGCAGTACGGGAGATCAGCATTGGATTAGTACTGCTCTTGGTCCTCCTTTAATATAAAACTATGCCTAATGCCCTGAACATACACTTCACTTTGTGAAAACAAATTCTCCATAAATCTCTTCTCCTTCCGTTTGAACTTAAAATCAAAATTTGCCCGTTTTAACAATGTGGTCCAGAATGTTGTTGAAACTAGACCTTTCCACTTTTGCAAGAATATAACCTCACAAAATATTTCATTCATTCCATAAATGAAAGACCAGACAGACTCCAAATGGCATGTATTTGGAAATGACAAGCATCAAACAAGTACGTTCATGATGTACTCCACCACAAAGCTTGTCTCCTTCTCCCAAGAGCTAATGACTGGAAAAGAAATTGTGTCAGCAATCATTTAATATACAATAGAATTGACATATCGAACAACTGCAAGTACCTTCACGGATATATCAAGATCTTCTTCGGGTATTATTCCTGAAGGACGATTCTCTCTCTTCCTAATCTCTCAACCCTTCCCTCTTCTCCTATTTGAACTACTGCAAGTACCTTCATGAATGTTGATACTTGTGTGTTTTCTAAGAGCTGCTATGGTCACTTGTTGCCATTTTAACCGTTGATACATTTGAATTTCCGCTTAATTTGTTTATGTGTATTAAGTTGGTGTTGATACTATCAGCACTCACAAATGATAATCGTTGATTCATAGTAGGTCATAGCTAATTCTATCGATCGCCTACTACTGATGTATAGTAGATAAGATACATGGTCAGATCATAATCTACAATTCCTCATCGTTGATGTCTATAATTCCTAACAATTGATATATTGTGGTCAGGGCTGCTTTGGTATCTTGAAAATCTTGACCGTTGACGCATTATTGGTTAGGGATGCTTTGATTCATCGCCTACAATTCTAATTATTAACGCATTGTACGTAGGTCAAAAATGCTCCAGGCCATCATCCGCAGTTATTAATGGTTGATGGATTGTGAAAAGCTACAATGGGTACATGAACGACTGAAGATATATGGAAGTTAAATGCAATTCTTTGTATATCTTTTGCTAGCATGAGAACTTCATTTCATCAATATGGCATGACAGTTCTTGACCTTACTGAAAGTGACATTTTCATCAAAATAGCTGCTGTTAATTGTCTTGTTGTCTTCTTTATATTGTATGAAAATTGTGAATTTTTCCAAAACCCTAATCGTTTTCATGTACCAAAACTCTTGCAATTTCTGCCATTGATGGACAAACAATATTTGACCTACCAGTGGCGGATCTAGGAAAAAATCTTGAGAGGGTCAGGGAGGAAATAGCTCACGCGCAAATTTGTTGGATGAAAACAACACATACATTTTTAGTGTGGTATTTTCTTGAATAATTAGTGTGTTATAGTCAATGGCGGAGCCAATGCGGGGGCATTGAGCTCCCTTGACCCCAATAGATTTGTAACTTATTCCTTTAAAAAATAATTTGACCTCTTTAATGAAAGAAGCCAGTTTTTCCAGTACCCAGTCCACACCAGATCTGAAAGAAGCCATCATTCCTCCCAGCGATCTGTCTTGTTCTCCAGGTCGCGTTCTCCCGGCTTGGCATCCTTCCTCTGGTAAGCTTCTCTTGTCTGAAATTTCATTATTTATTTGTTTGGGTTTTTAAATTTAGGGAGGGGATAATCTGAGTGAAAGAGGGGTGGGAATAGCGAAGGGATGAGGTTTGCAGTGATTAGTAGAGTGAAATAGGAATTGGACGTAAGGGGTTAGGGCTTTGGCCGTGACAAGCTTCAAAGGCTTAGCTTGCGATCGCCGTCGACGGCAAGGGAGGACTCTCGGGTAAGTTGATTTCATTCTACCCATCAGCTGAATTAAAATTGGAATTTGAAGTTCATAGTCCTAGCATAATATTCAAGAATCCAAACTGTTGATTCAAATTATCAGAACCAACAAACAGAGTCCAAATGTTGGTTTTTTTTTTTTTTTTTGCTTTTTCTTTTCAAAGAATGTTAAATTTCAAATCTATGTTGTACTTTTGTTTATGGTAAAATTATTCATTGGACTTTAATGAAGTTCCTTGTATAGTTGGTGTTAATTTTTGTGATTTGATTGTGTGTAGTATTTAAATATTTCTTTAGTTTCTGCTTTGATTTTAGATGTTGGGTCAGGCTGGGATTTTCTCATCAAATCTGCGTTATTGGTTCTTCTTTTTAGATTTTCTTGTGATGTTGTATTTGGCTGGTGGTTCCATTGGTAAAGCAAGTAAGATTAACTCTTAAATCTACATGGTAAATTTGTAATCAAACGCAAACGCACTTTTGGTCGTCTAATATGAAAACTTATCTTCAAGATATTCGAAACCATGTAATTTTATTGGTAGTATTTGTTTCGACCATGACATGCATAAAGCGTTTTCATGCTCTCCAAGAAGTGGTTGAGAATAAGAATGAGGATTTGTCGTAGTTTCATTGAGGCTGGTGCCTTAAAACTGTTAGTTCTACTTTGTTGACTTTCCCATAAATCATTCATGTCATTCCCTGTTGACGACATGTTTGCTTATATAGGAAAGAGATCAAAACTTCAGGACAAGGAAACTGAAATGAAAAAGGCAGCTGCCAAAGGGAGCAACGCTGAACAAAAAGCTAAGAAAAAACAGGTGGAGGAAGAGATTACTCGGCTTTCTGCTAATCTTAAAGAAAAACATGCTGCAGAACTTGCTTCGTTAGGCTATAGTGCTAGTAATGGTAATGAGAAAAGTAAACTTGACACTTTAGTGAAGGCCATAGCTGGTGTTTCTGTCACCAGTCAACCTGAGCAGGTAAAGCCCAGCAAGAGTTTGAAGAGGCGAGAGAAGAGGGCTCAGCAAGATGTAGCCAGGGAACAAAGAATTCAAGAAGAGCAGAGCAATCTAGTAAGTGATCGAATGATTGAAAGCTATTTTTTGACCCCATTGTCTTAAATTCCTGGCTCCACCACTGGCTATAGTCCTCTTCCGAGCCTTATTGCACGGTTGTTGTCAGACGAAGACAAACCTCCGATCAAGTCTGTCAACGGATATTGGCATACGCAAGAAACTTGGTCGATAGATACCGACAACAATGCACACAAAGACACTAGCAAATGGTGTAGAGTCACACTCAGCGACAAGGTGCGTTAGAGACATTAATACGCGAATCTGACGTTATCATATTTATGGCACAATTGAATCTGCCTAACTAATCTCATCCTAACTTTTTTTGTTTCTCTAGGTTGTTGGAAAACCCCGGCCAAAAAGTTAAGAAAATCTCAGGTCTTAACTTTCTTGACAACAATGCTGTGAATGTTGTTTCAATACTGCTGACAACAATTCTCACTTCCATTGCCTGCGTTTCCGTTTTTTGAGATCGACCTGCCCAACCAAATATCTTTCCATTATCAGCTAAGATGGTGTTGATGCAATTAGAAACTGATTCATGTAGGCAGGCACGATAACAATAGTCCATCATGGTAATCTATGATTTGGATAAATGGTTTAGCAAATGCCATCCTTCTGACAAGTGTGGTTTGAGGAACTGATACTTCTAGATGGCTAGCGAGCAGCATTGTAAAATTTTCGGCTGCAAAACGTGCGTCATTGAAATCTATTCGAGCTAATTTCGAGTCACATTAAGCAGTGAATTTGATTTTGTTCACACTTACGATCACATTGTATGTATATTGGCCTTGATCCTAGACCCAACTTGCCTTAATCTTACAATTTTTTGTGTGGCTGTAACTGATTTTGTCTTGGGAGTTATTAAGTTAGAGTTAATCAGTTTTTCCTTTGGTGTGGCGAACTAATTTCACTAAAATGGATGAATTTCGTAAGAATTGGCACCAAAAAGTTCATTTACCGAAGTGTACACTGACCTGACCCTGGTCTAAGGGCAGCTCTGCCCCGCCACCCTTAGATGTAACCATGTGTATTTCTCCTTTTTACGTGTCTTATCATGAAAAAAAAAACGATAAATACAAATCAAATATGCAGCTGGTTCACCAAAGATTTTGCCAGCTTAATTTAGTGTAGGAAGATTGTGGTCTAGGATACGAAAAATTTTCAACGGAAAATGATATATGGTTGATTTATAAAGAGACTATGATTTTTACTAGATATCAATCACGTTTGATATTGTATTCCAATACACTATATATTTGTTTTGTTTTGTTTTGTTTTAATTTGCTTGTTGACAATTAAGGTACACCGTAGGCACCACATCATATATACAGAGAGATTTTTCAGTGTGCCGAAAACACAGTTCGGTATACTAAGTGTCGTAATACAAATGGTTGAATTTTTTTTCACATATCTTACAAATTGTATTATAATACTTAGTTGTTGCCAGCACCCTAAAAATTTCTCATATACATAGGCTCAAATCTAAAACAGATGGGCATTTTGGAGAAGATAAAAGAAGAAACGTTATATTATTCTTGTGAGAGATTCCTTTTAATGTTCATAAATGGTAGCTAGTTCCGCATGGGTACATGTATGCTTGCATGCATACATACACAGATAACACGTCCAAAACCTGCAGTACAAACAAACAAGATCAAAGCGAGAAATTCACAAGATCCATGACGAAATCTCGATCTGGTCTAATAAACAAACAAGGATTTACATATATTTCACTAGATCATAAGCATTTGCTGGTATTTAGTAAGAATCGCGGTCGAAGATAAAATCGTCACGATACTTATCAACATAATCATCTGATTGGTAGAATATTGCGGTGATACTAGGTTAACTCGAAAACAGATTCTCCTAAGAAAATCAAGATGCAGATCATGATACCTCTCATGACTTAGGGATTGCTTGAGAACCAAGTAAGAACGATGAGTATAAATGGAGAGAGATAGATGCATTTCTTCTGAGTTCATCGTACAAACCTAATCTTGGTTTAAGCACCGAGGCTGCATTTCGAAGCACCAACGCTGTGTAGCGAACGTAATTTTGATTTTCAGCACTCTGCCTACAGATCTTCTTAGTTCATAGCATTAATAAACTTTTCGCTGTCTCCTTCTTGTGTAGTGTAGCTTAATATCTACTTATAATTTTTGTTTTTTGACTGAACAAAGTACATTTAGTTGGGAGGACATAAACCTCTTGTTTGTAACTTTTGATTCTACGGCTGCTGAATTAATTAATTTGTTATGCATTTGACTGCAGAGTGGCATTCAAGTTATCACTTGAAGATGTTGGAACAATTGTTCATATTTACCAGGGGAGGACTAATCCTGCGGACGTAAAAAGAGCTTCAATGTGCTCTTAGCGGCCATGGGTCCCAGTACTTGGAACCTTCATCGAATTCTGCCTTATGGAGGAACCGTCTGGCGCAGCAGCAGCAACATCATCTTTGGATTATACTCGCCCGGGGGCTGCTTACACACTCAAATGGACCTTCCATGATGAACTTCGCCTCGTGTTTCTTTCTGTTTATGATCAGAAAACCTTCCATGATATCTGGTATGTGGATGAACTGCTTTCGATGGCAAAGCATAAGTTCTTGGAGATATATGATCTGACGAGGGATGTCTACAATGATTTTGATGAACCTTTTCAACAACTTATGAACTACATTAAAATCCCAATTCAGTACCCTTCCCTTGACGTGGAATTTAAATATCAGATTGAATACCCTCGCCTTAACAGGGAGTTTTAATCAGTCTGTTAAAATCCCAGTTGAATACACTTCCCCAATGCCTGCGCAAAAGGCTGGACTTCAAGGATACAAGAACAAGGGTGGTTTTTAAAAGATGACACTTGTCAAAAGATAAAAAAGGTAGAGAAGGTAGTTAGAGTTGGTTATGTTGTGACTTAGGCAGTAAGATTTGTAAAAGGTAGTATATAAACTTGAGGTTGTAAGATTGTAAGGTACGAAAAATATAAAACATCAGTTGAAGAATACTCTCTCTCTTTCTCTCTCTCTCTCTCTCTCTCTCTCTCTCTCTCTCAATATTCTTAGAACAATACTGTGAACTTCTTCCTATAATCACAGCTTGGTTAACATGGTATCATCGCTGGTATAGCTAATCGTGCGATTTTCTGATCTTGGTTTGCTTCCGCTCTCTATTTCTGATCTCCTTGCTGCTTTCTGCTTCCTCTGTTTTTTGTGGAGATTATTGTAGATCTCATAGCTCATCGTTCTTGGCGTCTGTTTTCGTGCACGGCAACTGTTTGACAAAAGTCCGCAATCACCATTCTGCTACGAGTTTTTAGTTTTCTTGCAGCAATGGTTTCTACCTCTCAACTGCAAATTGTTCAATCCCCCATTACCTCTCTCATTTCTACTGTGTCAACATCTGTCACGGTCAAGCTTGATGAAACAAACTACTTGGTTTGGCATTTTCAGATGGAGCTTTTGCTCGAGGGGTATGGAATCATGGGATTTGTGGATGGTTCCACACATTGTCCTGCTCGATTCACACATTGTCTGGATGAAATTGGGTCTTCCCAAGAATCTGATGACTACAAGATTGGAAGATGCACGATCGAGCCTTGATGCAACTCATTACTGCAACTCTTTCATCACCTGTGATTTCTTATGCCATCGGGAGTACCAGTGCACAAGATCTTTGGACACGGCTCAAGGAGCAATTTTCGACTGTTACAAGAACAAGTATCTTCCAAATGAAATCAGAATTGCAGAATATCAAAAAGGGTAATGATTCCATTTCTTGCTACTTACAAAGAATCAAGGAGGGTAGAGATTATCTTTCTGCGGCTGGGGTTAAATTTGATGATGATGATATTGTAATTCTTACTCTTACTGGTTTACCATCTGAGTATAATACGGTTCGATCAATCATCAGAGGCAGAGAACATGTTATATCTCTGAAAGATTTGAGAGCTCAATTACTTGCTGAGGAAACAATGATTGAAAGTACTTCTGCCCATTTCTTACTGCAATGGCTGCTGATACCGGTGGTTCTCAGACAAGTTTCAAGGGCAACTTTGGTCATCAGTCTCCTTCTTATACTCATACTGGTGCATTTTCTTCTTATAGCAATAACTATGGTGGTTCTCAATATAAACCATTCTATAACAAAAACAAGAACAAAGGGAAGTTTCAGTATGGCCAAGGTGGACCTAAATTTGGAAACAACAGGTCTTTTTACCCAAATCATGTGCATGGGATTCTTGGTAATTCACCTACTCAGCCGTTGCCTAATACTGGTAATCCATGTCAAATTTGTGGCAAGTATGGGCATCTTGCAGATACATGTCGGTTTTGAAATATTGATTCTGCATTTACTGAAGGGTGTCAAATCTGTGGAAAAAGGAATCACAGTGCACAGTTTTTTCATTTTCGAAATGCAAACATCACTTCCAATTCTGGAGGCATGAATGCTATGCATGTCAATGCTTCTGTTTCACCAGTGGAATCCAATTTATCTCAGCAAGTATGGCTCACAGACTCAGGTGCAACAAATCACATGACTGCAGACTTGAATAATCTGTCATTGGCAACTCCTTTTCCATCATCCTAGATGATTCAAACTGCAAGTGGTGAAGGTTTGCCAGTGTCTCATAGAGGATTTTCCATATTACAGACTCCATTCCATACTCTAAATTTGAATTCAGTTCTTTATGTACCTAAGATATCTCAGAATTTACTCTATGTGCATAAAATCTGCCTTGACAATAATTGTTGGCTGATTTTTTATGCTTGGTGTTTTTGGATTCAAGACAAAGCTACAGGGAGAATATTATTCAAGGGTCTCTGCAATAATGGATTGTATCTTATTCCCATCAAACCATCCTCTCATCCCACAAAGGTTTTCTCAGCTGCTGCATATCTTGGAAAACAAGTAATCTCTAGTCTATGGCACCATAGATTGGGTCATCCTTCAAATAATGTTGTTTCCCTTATGCTTAAGAAGTCCAACATCACTAGTGTTGCTGATTCCACACCTACATTGTGTTCCAATTGTCTTGAGGGAAAAATTAGCAAGTTACCCTTTACCTCAGCCACATGTAAACCTGTTCACCCTTTTGATATTGTTCATAGTGATGTATGGGGTCCGGCTCCCTGTCTTTCTATAAATGGCTTTAAGTACTATGTTACCTTCATAGATCAATGTACTCGATTTTGTTGGATTTTCCCACTTGTTAATAAAGCTGATGTTTGTTCTACATTTACTACATTATATCAGTTTATTCTTAATCATTTCTCAGTTTCCATAAAGACACTTCAAAGTGATGGGGGGGGAGAATTTGTCGGGAAGCAATTACAAACATTCCTTTCTACTAAGGGTATTATTCACCAATTGTCTTGTCCATATACCCCAGAGCAAAATGGGTTGGCTGAACAGAAACATCGCCATATTATTGAAACCACAATCATTATACTCCAAACATCCCATTTACCTGCCCCTTTCTGGTCATTTGCTTGTCAAACATCAGTGTACCTTATTAATCGAATGCTATCATAAACATTGAACCAAAAGTCACCATTTAAGATGCTTTATAGTTCTCTCCCTGACATTAGCCATCTAAAAGTCTTTGGCTATTCTTGTTACCCACTGTTAAGACCTCTTAATACCACTAAGTTGCAACCTCGAATAACATAGGGTCTTTTTCTAGGGTATGCATCAAAGTACAAGGGGTACTTTTGTTATGATGCCACTAAGCAGAAAGTCTATATTTCTCGACATGTTTTGTTTGATGAATCTGAATTTCCCTATTCAACTCTAGTCTCAAACCGGCCATCTGACCCTCCTACATCCCATGTGCCACAAC